AGTGTCTGCTTGTCACAGTCGTCACCACATCTGACACTCCGCAAATTCAGGAAGACAAAACAATAAATATGTAAGTTTAATATTCCATTAACTAAAAATTCATTAACTACATTTTATTTCTAAAGGAATGTGTAAGAGTTTCTACCTCAACAGATAGTTGATAGTACAGTAATAGTTGATAGTACAGTAATAGTTGATAGTACAGTAATGTACTAACAAAAGAATATGATGTGCAGAAATAAACACATTTTTCTGTTTACTATACAGACAGAGGTACAGAAACTGCACATGATTTTGGGGTTTAACCAGTAATTCATGGTCATTTTGAAGGTAATAGTTGTCATAAGAAGCAAGCTATTAAATTGTTAGCTTACCTGACATTTCAGCTTGTGGGGGTTGAAATTTGATGTTGTAGCCTAATAATGGTTTGGCCCAATAAATACAGTGTATATACAGAACAACCAGGATTAATAAACACTGGTTAATATCACCCATAATGAGCCACCCTTAGATAGTTGCAATGGCACAGGGAAATTCAGGAGACAATCCTGCAAGCATGCCCCCCCCCTCACAAACGGTGAGGTTGGTTGAGGGAACATGGGAGTCCTACACCAAAGGGGGTCTGTTATGAGGTGACGGTCCCTTCAGGCTGGCCATCCTCCAGTATAAACTTCAGACGCCCACATGTGTCACTGGTTTCCCTTTCCCTATTCCCATGGCTTCATCCAGGTCAGGCTTTAAGCCCAGTTATGTTAGAATATCACTCTCTCCACTGGACTGACAGTCCATCCCTATATGTTTGCATTTAAGCATTTCACTCGGCTACATTAAATTCAGAATGCTGTCACAGTGTTTCTGTAAGTTGTCTACTTGAGTTATAGACCCCCCAACAGGAGAGATTAAGTACTGCAACTTGCATAAAACGTGACCTAATATTCATTCTTTTGTACAGCTGTGCAATCAGTCTGCATCACTGTGTTTACTCACTGCACAGAAATACACACCACTGTCTTCTGGCTTCACACTTTTTACTGAGAAAGATCCACTCTCAAAGTTATGTTTTTCAGCTTCATAATTGCTCTGGTCTAAATTCCCAAAGTCAGGTGTACCTCCAACAGCTGTAAACACAATGAGCTGCATGTTCTCCCCTGGGCGCTGGTGGTACCAGTACATTTGGGAGTAGTCAATACCCTTATTGTGGCTGCAGTTCATCTGGCTAGAATTCCCTATAGGAGCCCAGAGAATGGCTGGATTCTGTGTAACACCACTGCCTTCACCATGACCTGTAGGAAAATTAGTGTGAAATAATGAGAAATGTAAGAAATCCCATGACTTGTATAAGGCTATGTGATATTTTTTTCTAAGTAAATAATTTTAGCTCTAAATTTCATAACCTTACCTTTCCACCAAAGCAAAATGACTGCAAATATGACAACTCTGGCCGTATTCATCTTCTGAGAGGAAACAGAGAAACAACAAACAGCACTAACCAGGACCTGAGGGAGGAAGTGATGGTGTGAGTTTAAAAAGAGGAGGATGAGCTTCCCCTTGTGTCTGGGTCCTACCAAGGTTTCATTCTCTCTCTGAGGGACTTTTTCTTTGCCATTGTAGCCTCAGGTTTATACTCTTGGGACCTCAGACCCAAGACCCAGTAAAATCCCTCTGACATATTAATGAAATTAATATGAAATTAATTAAGTTACTGACAATGAAAGACAATTTGTTGAGCTAGGATTTCAAGCGAGCGCAGATGTTCGGAGCTGAGTGTGGTTTTTGTAGAGCAGGGAGAGAACCTGCAGTACTGTGGTAACTGGCTGCACAGAAGTATATTGCAGTGTCTATATGCCTTGTTTTGAGAATGTGTAAAAATGCAGCCACCTCCCCATCTCCGCTCACATTGAAGTGTTCTTTATATGAATTTTCAAGGTATGGCGTCCTATAACTTACATAACCAATGAGATTTAAGGCATTGTCCTTCTCCAGCTTTTGGTACCACAATATAGTGTCATAGCTGGAAACTTTGTGCCTACAGGTAAATTCCAAAGTGACACCAGTCTGGTTTATCAAAGCATGAGGTGTCTGCTGGACTTTATTACTGAGCGAAAGTCCTGTGAAGAAGAGAGAGGACATTATAATATGCCGAGAACAGGCAAATGCAGTACCATTCTGTAAAATTCATCAAAAATTGTGTGCTCTTTAAATTAAATCTGTTTTTTTACCTGTCACCCAGAGAAGAGCAGTGAAGCAGAGCAGTTTTTTGATCATTCTGACGCCTTGGTGCTCTAACGAGACAAGCGGAGATGAACTGTGTGGGCAAGGAAATGATGTCAGAATGGATGAAGTCTGTCTAAATAGGTCCCCTTTACAACAGCATGTCACTTTAAGTTCTGTGTGTGATGCATTTTTTTCCAAGCCAGTGTCTAATCCCCCATGACTGCTGGGATTTTTATCTACTTACCTGTTAAATTATGTATCTTAATTTCTCTAGGCCACACTAATCAGTCTATAGGATTATTTATTTTAGTTACACACATCTGTGCTGAAAAATGTACAACATTTTCATTTTTATAGTGGGTTTGTCTTCAAAAAAATTCAAGGTGTGAACTTATTTGTAATATTCATTAAATGATTTAGAATAAGACATGATTAGGAAAGGAGACTGGGCACGTTCCCCCTTACCTAAGAATAATATATCAGGAATAATATACCAGGAAAAATATACCTTTAGCATAAGTCACAAGTACAATAAACATTCAATTAATATTGAATTAGTCCTCAGCACAAAGTCCTTATAAGATGAAATTATGTCATTAAACTTTAGTGCCCTTTTTTCATTCACACATCGGCTTAACAGTTCAGTAACCCAGGCTCAGTTCAATTCGTTTTCACATAAAAAAAAAAATGTAATCTCAGTTCTGTATCCATCCATCAATCCATCCATCCATCCATCCATCCGTGCCGGGTGTGCCTAGAGAAAAGCTGTACAGCATGTGGTACACATACTAACTCCACACACACAGTGGAGGCAACATTCAAACCCCCAACCCTGAACCCACCTATGATATGATATGAATATCATTTTTTACAAATTTCACGTGATTTATAAAATGTTGTTTATAAAGCATATAGCTGTCGTATGATATTCTGTTGCATGGTCTGAACTCTCACCTACTGAGTTCTAATCGCAGATGAGTCTAATTAATTAAGACATACGCAGAATGCATGAAAGGCCAGCATGAAAAGCACTGACCTACTAAACCAAATTGATACAAATCTTAGTACTTTTTCTTGTTTCAAAGAGAAATAGCTCCCTCTAGAGGTGAGGTTGTTTTTTCTGCATGTAGTACACAAGTTCTAGATTATTGATACTCAAATAACTTCCAGCTGCATATACATACAAGCAAATGTCTCCAACCATTTGTCATTTTATCACTCTAAAAGTTACACTCTTAGTAATAGATTCACTAATCTGACATTTGCCTGTAGTGGAAAACTGGGTGTTTTACGTTGAGTGCAGAGAAGCATTATAGAGTTACATGCTTTAATATATCTGTCATATTTGTTGCATGTTATTAATGGTGAGTTTTCTTCTGGAGCAAGTATGTCTTAACCTGTGAGTGAAGAATGCCAGTCACCAAGAAGTGTAGTCCTGACCAGCAGTACAGTAGAGAACATATAATATAATGGATTACAACAGAACATAAACGTTTATTGCCAACCATCAAATTAGTGAAGAATGTGTTTGATAAAATTCTGAGAGATATTCTTGCATAGAATAATGATGCAGAGTGACTGGAAGATATATATTACATAGAGAAAAAACACGCAAAACAATGAAAAGCAATGAGTAAAGCACACATTATATTCAAAATCAGTAAATATGGATATTTATATATGAACAGCTAGGAATTTATATATACATAAATATGAGTATTTAAACTAAAAGGGAAACAGAAATTAACAAAATATAAGGGTCTAAGAACAAAAACAGATGCATTGTGACAACATACCCAGAGAATGCACTGCTATTGTGTTTGCTTCTCAATGTGCTATTTTAACTGTCATACAGCAGGTACACATGTGGTTACAACTGTAAAAATGTGGCGATTGTGGTAATAGACAGGTGTGATGAGAACTGGTGTACTGCATACTGTATAAAAGACGTAGTTTGTGAAGAAAAGGGAGGTTGAATGAAGCGCTATTTAGTTGTGCGGTACAAAAACAAGTAGCCTATCGCTGTCCGCAGAGGTTATTTTTAGTTTTAGTTGTTAGTTGTTAGTACTGATTTGTCCACTTTCTTCCAAAGTGATGTCTTAATTTGTCATCTGGAAAGTCAATATTCTTATTACGGTATTCAAAGTAGGTGAAATGTCCATGGTTAGTTTCTCAGTATTGATAAACACAGTCATTGTTTATTTTATTGTGACCAAAACACATGGCGATTGCTCAGCTCCGTTACGCATAGACTGATTGCCATTCCTGCCAATACAATGGTAATAAAGGATTACTTTGAAACACATCGTAGCAAAGGGAGAAACATACATCAATACGCTGAACATTTAAATTGGAAGAATTTCAGAAGTGACATCAGTGAGTGACATTTTCAACAAACTCAGAACTATTACCAAACATCTCTCACGTCTTGGATCATTTCTCACTATCAAATGATAAAATTTCCTATGAAAATTTTTAAAGAATGATTGCATGACACCTGAACCTGCAATCACATAGTATCTCTAAACATGAACAAATACTGAAATAAATTTTAATCTAAAATGCACATAGTATCTCTAAACATGAACAAATACTGAAATTAATTTTAATCTAAAATGTTTTGTTTTTTTAAATCCCTATTTTAATTTTTGATGTTACTGCTCCATCTAGCGGACATAATATGAACTTTTCGTGAGTACTGGAGGGAGGTTTTTGAACAACTTTGTGGTGATTTTGAAACACTGTGTTTATAAGCAGCACAGAAATACACGCCACTGTCTTCTGGCTCCAGCGCTTTCACAGTGAACGTTCCATTCTTAGGTTCAGATTTTATAGCTTCATATTTACTTTTATTAGAATGACCATAGTCATGTGCGACATATGCATTAGATATTACTATGAGTTCCATGTTTTGTCCTGGAAGTTGGCGAAACCAGTACATCTGATCATAGCTGGTGTCTGTATGTTCACACAGCATCTTCGCAGATTCATTTTGGCCTTTGCTCTTAAAATGCAGAGCTGGAGATTGTTTAACATCAAGTCCCTCATTGAAACCTATTGGGATAAAATGTATAGTAATGATTGCAAAGTATATTAGTTATCAAAGGTATTGTTAATTGAACAATATAAATATTTTTAAGCAAGTTATTACCTACCAGTCCAGCAAAGTAGTGAAACAGTGATGCTGATCAGGCTAAGCATTGTAATCTAATGCTAGAGTTGGATGTGGAAATGATGTGCAAAAAAAAAAACAATGAACAAAAAGATCAGTGAACTCTCAAGAGGAAGTGACATCACAGCTATTTTTTATTCAGATACGTGTCTTGCTGCAGTGTCCTTAGTTTTAAGTTTGTATGTGCAGTATCTGTACTGTAAACATAGACATGTTACCATAATGTAATTTTTTACCACCCCCTCCTTTATTTTGCTTAGTTAGGCACTGGTGCCGTTTCAGGTAAAGTAGGAGACCGAGTTGTTAAATTTCTGTACTGGCTTGTGTGGCTTAGCTGGCTAAGTGTCTGTGCTTGTGATCAGAAGGTCATGGGTTCAAGCCCAGCCTTGGCCTGCCTGTTGGTTGATAGGAAA